ATCGATTCGCAAGGCATTGCTTCGAGGTCAGAAATGTGCTACGCCCACCCCGGAGGTCGAACTCAAGCCAAAACCGAGGGTTCGACCCAATAACGAGTCTGAACCAGTGTCGGGCTCACGACAAGAGCCGTTACAAACGCACTAAGAGAGAGAATCTTGGCGGGAATCGATGAAGAGACAATTCATCATGGGTCCTCCACTATATGCTTTATTTTATTATAAATGAAGTAGGATTCCTCTATTATAAAGGGGGGTCCTTGTAAGCAGCAGACAAGAGAGAATATATCGTAACAAAAGATCACTTCTCATATTGAAAGATATTTCTGCATGCTTGTTTATTTTTACCTTATTCATTCTTTTGCTCACTATTCCTATTCTCATAGCCAAAAACACTCATATTTCTATTTCTCTATACGATTTGTATCAAATTGTATCGCATATCCTTAGAACCATACACAAATTTAACGTTATCTAATTTTTCGGATAAACAGCTAGCATGAGTAAAATTTTGGTGGATAAATTTTAATCGCTTTAGATTTTCTATTCTCTCGAACTTTACGAGCATGAAAAAATCATCAAAGACCATGGAAGAAGATAAATTACGTGTCAAATTTCACAGAGAGAAGACTAACATTGCCCCTGGGTATCTTTTTCTCGGTTCTTATTACCTACAAAGAATCAAGAACATTAGATAACCAAGATTCTCAAAAATACAATATCTGATCTTGCTTGGAGGATAGTACAAACTTTCGAAAAATTGACGTGTTGATACGCAATCAAAAATGATGTGACTAACTGTCCAGAGTATATCAAGACTAAAGTGTACATTGGATTTATTAGTCATAAATATGATCATATAATTTGATTGGCATGATTACTGTAATATTTGAAGATTGTAGTACTTCATATGTCAACACTTTAAGATCGGAGCTTATAAAATTTCATGGCAATGAATGCTTACATGTATCCCTATGGAATTATGATGGTAAGCACCAATATTTTCATGAATTCCTTTCTCTTAAAGCTTATTTAAAGTGAAAATACTTGAAAGGTTCAGAAGAAACTAAATACAAGTATTATGCTCCAATTCCTAAAGCTACTCATGCAGGAACTTGAGGAAATTTTCAAGATACATTGAGTTGACTTTTAAAATATTACTAGAGTATCAAAGCCAAGCATATAATCAGAAAAAAATATCATGAAGCTCCACTATTTGATGTAAATAAAGATGAAATACTACATTAAAAGTGTTTGCAATATGTGTCCCTGAGAATTGCCTTGTCCATTAGATCAAATTTTAAAGGTATAATATCTAAAGGGACTGGGACATGAAACTTTCTGATGATATCTAAAGGAGATCTCTCTGTCTCTCTCTCGAGAGAAACTTTATGAAGTCACAATTTGTGACTCAACTCTTGCCATATCAAAGCTAAAGTTGGTGATAAAGCATGTGATGAAAAACACAAGAATTCTTTAGCCTGATATCGTCAAAGTAAATACTTTATGTTATGGTACAACGAAAATAAATTTTACAATGTAGTTACTGAAAATAAATACTCGTAGTATGCCCAATATGCTGATTTCTCCAAAGTATTAGATGTACAGTAACTCAATGCATCTGCAGTACTTCTTTTACAGGCATAAGGAAGCAAGTCTCCTCGTTCTAGTTGAACTCAAGGAAATTGGATAAAATAACTCTCCCAAATAAATTAACTTCCTTGGAATGAGGGAGTAGATTTGCACAAGAAATATTTTGAATTACTAAGCAGGTTTCAGCTTCTTTATGGAATATTCAAAGGGGATAACTCAAACAAAAAAAAATGAAGGTCCAACTTAAGTCTGTATTAAGGACGCGAGTGTCCATAACCTAGACTAAAAGAATTCCAAATGTGAGTTCTAATTTTTATTTGGAATCGTACTAGTCTTCCTACTAGGTGAAAAATTTATCTTTAACTATTGGAGGTGTTCAAGAAAAATTATATTAATTTGCTTGTTGGACCGAGATAAAATCCGATTAAAATGCATACTTCAAGCCTTGTTTCGAGGGTTCAAAAATGTACATCCAACAAGTCTTGAATATGGGATATTGTAAGCATTTAAATTTTATCGGATTTAAATACATAAAATAATATGGACCATATTAAATTCATAACATTAGTCCGAACAAATATTATGACTAGTAAATTGGGTTAATTATATATGTGTTGGGCTAGTCCATTTAAGTAGACTACAAATTAAATGATAAGCCCATTTTATTAGCCCAAGGTCCAAATAACTATTAGCCTATCTTAAAGCCCAATCTCATGCTATGTGTCAAGTGATGTGGCCATCCAAGTCAAAAGAACGAGCCAATAAAATCATGCCACGTGTTAAATGGTATAGCAATCTAAGCCAAATAAATGAGCCAATGAATTCATGCCATGTGTCAAGAAAGGGATACCAAGTCAAATCAACAACCAGTAGTGTTATGCAAAATTATCTAGATGGTATTGGTCAGTTCAAATGGACCAATCGAATCGCGGAGCCACATCACTCACTACAACTGTAAATAGATGTCTTCATAAAGGTAGAAGACACCATAAGTGATAACAAGAAATAAGCAGAGAGCTCGTGGATCAAGCATCGCAGATTTCTCTACAAGCTACAAATTCAAGCACTCAAACACTAAAGCTACAAGTTCAAGTTCAAGATTGAGAACGAAGACAAATTAAATACCAAGGCGTTCAAGATCAAATTACTTGTTCGTGATCAAATCCAAATTCAAGTTCAAGAAGGAGATTCGAGACCAAGCTTTACAAGCCCTTGAATCAAAATCAAAATCAAGCTCATCAAGATAGTTTATATTCTTGAAAAATCAGAGGAGTACTATAGAGGTTGTAACACTCATTATTTATTGAAATCAAATACTATATTTGTTACACAATTTTTTCAGTCTTGATTATTTATTTGTCTCGACGCAAAAATTTGTTGTTACAAACACACTACTTTAAACCCCTCTAGCCTCGCGTGTACTTCAAACGCACGAAGTGGATGACACATCATCATCCACGTCATATTTTTTTATGACAATTATTATTATTTTCACTTTAATTTCAACAATTTAAATTTTTGTTCTCTTTTTTCACTATTCTTCCCCATCCTGACCACTTACCTTCATTTTTTCAGTAGAAACAACAGGATTTTTTTGCCTTTACCAATGATATAATCGCCATGGACAACTAAAAACCACCGTTCTCCAACTTTTCATCGTCCACATCTCGCTTTCAAAGATTTTTGTCCAACGCCGCCACTCACTACTTCAATTTTATCATATGAACCACCTTGAACTCCTTTCCTCCATTGATATATGCCAATGCACCACCACTGAAATTCCTCAATATCCTCATATGTCCACACATTTTTATACTGTACACCTACCTAACCCCAAAAGACCTTCATCAACTACTTTTCACCCTCCAAAATCACCGCATCTCCATGGTAAACTGCCCAAAAAAATTATTCTTCAGCTTCTCTCCATCAAATAAAAATTCACCATTATATATGGTCCACCACTTGAAAATGTATTAGTCCTGAAACGATTGTTGCCCAAAACAGATTCAACACTGCAATGGCTATAGATCTAAATCATCTGAGAAACACTAATGATGGTTGCTCTTCAGAAAAGGGTTCTTAATATTTTTTCTCAAAAATTGATTGAAAAGTTTGTGGGGGGTGGGGTGAACGAGGAAGGCATAAGGGAGAAAGAGAAAAGAAATGGAGGAGGGGTGGGCAAAAGAAGAAAGAGGAGACCCATTTTATTTTTTTTAAATTATTTTTTGTCTTTTACTTTTCCTTTTTACTTTTTCTACTTATTTTAATTATTTTTAGTCTAAGTTTTAATGTTTACACTTGTTGTTGTATGCGTGAAGTCCAACTTCGTCATTAAGTTGCCACGTATGTTTGGTCAACGGTCAGAGAGATTTAAAGTAGTGTGTTTTAACAACTAGGAGTGTTTGGATGAAACTAAGTAGAGTATCAGGACCGGGATGATAAAATAGGTCAAGTAGAAGTATTTATTAGGCTATTCTGCCATATATAATATATATAATATGTGTTTAATACATATATATACAAAATATATATATTATCGGCTATTTTTTTTAACGTCTAAAATATATTTTTTCTTAAGTATAAAAGGGCAGCCCGATTCACTAAGCTCCCGCTATGCGCGAGGTTCGGGGAAGGGTCAGACCACAAGGGTCTATTGTTCACACCTTACTCTATATTTTTGCAATAAGTTATTTTCACGGCTTGAACCCGTGACCGCCTGGTCACGTGACAACATATTTTTATTAAGTATATTAATATTATTAAGCACAGTTCTTAAAGTTGAAAATTATTGGGTTTATGCAAGTTGTATACATCCGTTGAATATATAATATAAGCCTATAATATAATATTGATAGCTTTAGAATTCTCAAATTCCAACTTCTTCATTTTTTGGATGATTAAAGACTATTTACTTATTGCACCATTATAATTTTCTGAAGTAGTCCTATTCGTAATCTTTTTCTATCAACATACTAAATCCAGATTTCATAATTAAATTTAAGTTTTATGTTCGATTGCTTTCCATTCGTGTTCGTATTTGCAATTCTTCGTTTTTATTCAAGAAAAATGCAATCGTGTATTTAGAGTTGGTACTTTAGGTTGAAGGTTATTTTTGTTAACAAACAATTCATTAAACGGACAATATCATTAGAGGTGACCATTTACGAACAATTGTAAAAAAATGAGGACAATTTTTAAGTACCGGCACGTAAACAGACTATTTGTGCAAATCAGCCCCTCAAAGTGGCTATCTGTGCAAATTTCTCGATCAGAAGTTGTATTAATTGGGCCAGCCTAAAACAGCCCATATCAGCAACGGGTTTGTTAAAAAAGCGGGAGACAATTTCCTCAATATCACAGAGCGCCAAAATTCGAACTTTATACCGCCAAATTCTTTACTCAGCACCCGTCTGTATATATAGTAACACACACACACACACACACAAAAGCTAGGTTATTTATTTCCCGCGAAATTCTCATTTTCAGTTCTTTACTCAGCTGAAAAAGATTTGCAGACTGAAGCTTTGAGTGAATTTCAAGAATGGCAGCGGAGACTCAAAGCATTTCTCGGTTACTAAACCCATTGGCATTTCATATTCAGAAATTGGGTCTTGAACTCAAATGCCCTCTTTGGTAATTTTTCTTTTTCTCCTTAACTCAATATTCTTTAATTTGATTTGGGTCTTTTTTTTTTTGTTAGAGACTTGTAGATCCTTTAGTTTTAAAGAATTAATTTATCTAAAAAGATTAAAAAAAATTATGGAAATAAAATGGACTCAATAGAGGATTTCTTTTTGGTTAGAGATTCGCATGTCATTGTATGAGAAGCAACATAAGAGAGAATTTAGTTTTAGTGAACCTCTAATTTGTTTAAAAGATAATTTTTTTATCGAATTAGAAGGACCCAACTTTAAAGGACTAAAATTTTTACTGAATAAAATATACCCTATAGAGGAAATGGAATTAGAAGATTCAGATAGTTGGTCTCAACTAGTTTGCATTAGGGCATTTCTTGGTTAGAGATTCATATTGCATTGTATGGTATTTGTAAGATTAGAAAAAAAATCTTAGTTTACTCAAAAGATAATTTTTTATGGAATAAAATTACCCCAACTGTAAAATATCAAATATTTTATCGAATAAAATGGACTCAATGGAGGAAATGGGCGCAAAAGATTCATAGAGTTGGATATAGGATTTGAATTTTAAGCATGGGGCGGATCCGACCCTTTGGTCTTAGGTTCAACTGAACTTAGTACTTTAGTTGCGGAATATATATTTATGTATAAAAATTCATTAAAATGATAACAAATAAGTAGGTACAAACTTATACTTTTAAATTATACAATGATTTCAATATTAAAAGCCTTAAATGTTGAATCCATAGAGTTTAAATCTTGGATATACTTTAAGGGATTGGACCATTTGTGTTATTAAGTTCGAATTTAATACTTGTAAATATTTATGTAGAATATTTACACATAGTTTCTTATGATTTTGCAGCTTAAACTTGCTGAATAAACCTATGTTGCTTCCATGCGATCATATTTTCTGCAAGTAAGTTATCATTTTGGGTTTCTTTGAAATTGGTTTCTCTGTGATATTTGCTTGTATGCTTACTTTAGGCTTTGAATATTGTTATCCAAAGATTTTTTTTTTAAAATTTAATCTTTTTGTGCAGCCTCTGTGTTCCAAGGTCTACCCAAGTTCAATGTGAATGCCCTGTATGCAAACATCAATATGTTAATCAAGGTACTATTACATGGTTTTAATACATTGTTTTTGCTGTTTAATAAACAAATTCTGAAATTGGCCGCAAAACTAATTTGTTTGTAGGAAGATACACATTAGAAAGAACATTAATTCCCTCAAATGTTACTGCTTAAATGGTAGCAGTTCATAAGTAAATATATGTAGGGAAATACACGTTAGTTCCTTAAGCTTTAGATGAGGTTATATATNCCTCACTTATTTGGGATTGAGGCGCAATATTTGTTGAATGAATCATGATTTTACAATATGAAAAGATAAGATCTTTTCTGTTTATAATGTGTCTTAGATTTTGTGAGGGAAATAATTGATGTTTTGCCTTTACTGGAATGGTGCAGAAATAAGGGCAGTGCCTCATGTGGAGAGTATGATAGCCATATTTAGAAGCTTAGATGCTACTTTCAATGCTAAAGTCTTTCAATTCAAATCTCCTGGTAAATATATCTTAACCTGTATATCAAATTTTCTGTTCTTTTTTCTTGCTAGTAAAGTACAGTACTACTCACACAAAAAATTTGGTTTAATGCACCAGATGCTGGATGGTCATCGGAACAATATCCTATTTCTGTTAATCTTGATGATAAATCAAGAAATGAACAAACTGTCAAAGCCATAGTAAGCAGCAATGATCCAAACAAGGAAATTAATAGGTGCAATGGACATGGAATTCCTTGGAATGGTGTGAGTCATTTGAGTCTTTTGCCTTCTTCTGACAGAAAGGCAGACTTGAAAAATGAAAGGAATATTGCAGAGGAAATAGATTTGAATCAATTGCAACAACAATCACCAGGCAGCTCTCATTCATCTGATAACAACAAAGATATAGTTAAAGAGACAAGTGAACTGAGAGTAAGAAATAATGTAAGTTTCATAATTTGCTACTATAATTTAGTATTATATTTCTCGAAAAGTATAGTAATATCGAGTTGTTTTCACCTTGTTATGTCATTGGCATCATTCTTTGCAAATGGAACAGTAAGTGCCTGCTAAGTGCTAACTAAAGTTTTTACTATTTTTGGGGTTGCCCATTACTTGCCAGAGATTAGCCTTAAATTAGAAATAATTTCCTGTATAAAAGAAGCACATCCTTCCAATTAAAGTACCTAATCATATGAACAATTTCTCCAGCTATATAGCAATATTTATGCTTGAATAAGTCCAGGAAGTATAGTAGCTAGTTATCTATGATATCATGGTGGCAGACTATCGAGATGGATGTGTACTGTTTCCATGATTATACGCAACAAAAGAAATAATTTTTTTGAATATATTTGCTTGTTTTCAGGATATAAAAAGCCATACTGCGAAGATGTCCGTAGAAGATAGCTCACACGTGGTTGAAGGTCTAGTGCACCACACAATTAAGCATGAACATGTGTTTGAGGAAAGAGACTTGAAGAGACAAAAGAAATTAAGCTATGAATTGTCAGAGACGGTCTTGCAAAGTCATGCTATTACCAACTCTGACCGCTCTTTGGCATGTAAATTGAGTGAATCTTCTTTGGTTGCTCAGCCAAAAGCAGTTTCAGATCAACATCTTCCGAAAGGAAGTGTTTGTGCTTTCTGCCACACATCTAAGATAACAGAGGTCAGTTATCTGCTTTATACTATTTTAAAGGGCAAATTTGAACATATTTAGACATGTTTATTCTATTGATATAATCATTTCATATTTGGCTACAATTAATACTTGCAGGGAACTGGACCAATGCTGCACTATGCAAATGGAAGGGAGGTGGTGGGAGATGTTACTTCACTTTCAAAAGCCATACCTGTGCACATGAAATGTATTGACTGGTATGCAATTCCACAATTTAGCTTGGATATTCCGATATCAGTAACTTTTAATAACAAGCTCATAAAGAAAGCTCTAATGTGTTAGATTATGTTTTGTTTTATCATTTGTGTTGGATGACATACTAATGGTAAACGACTTCAGAACCATTCTTGTTTTTTTCTAGCCTTATTGATGGTTATTTACATTGAAGGGCTTCTAGCCTTATTGATGGATTTACATTGAACTGGGGAAGTTTTATACTTGCCAGCTTGAAACTGTTGAGTTAGAACTTGGAAATATATTGCCCTCTATTTGTAATGACTGAATCTCTCTTTTGCTTATGGGGCTAGTTCTTTTAAGTGAAAGTACAACAACAACAACCCCCCAGTATAATCCCACTAGTGGGGTTTGGGGAGGGTAGTGTGTACGCAAATCTTACCCCTAACCTAGGGTAGAAAGGTTGTTTTCGATAGACCCTTGGCTGCCTCCCTCCAAGAACTCCCCACCTTGCTCTTGGGGTGACTCGAACTCACAACCTCTTGGTTGGAAGTGGAGGGTGCTCACCACTAGAGCAACCCACTCTTGTCTTTTAAGTGAAAGTAGAACTCAAATAATCCAAAGGTTTGGGTTCATGCTTATTTGGAACCAAGTAGGCAACATCTGTATATTTGACATTATACTAGATTTATTGTTAGTGTTCACCTGAGCTCTTCCACATTTACTTAGTTCTGCCCTAATTGTATTGCCTTCTTTTACAGCTAGCAACATTTTTATTTATTATTATTTGGGGTTCTGCAGTATTTAACTAGTCCATTTTACTATTTAATTCCATTTTGTAGGGCACCTCAAGTATATTATGATGGAGATACCTTGAGAAATTTGGAGGCTGAATTGGCAAGAGCTGCAAAACTCAAGTGTAGTGGCTGTGGCCTAAAGGGTGCAGCACTTGGCTGCCTCATGAAGTCATGCCGCAGGAGTTATCATATGCCTTGTGCATTTGAAATCCAAGACTGCCGATGGGATTGTGTAAGTAGAGCAATATAATGCATCCAGTCAATGATTTTACCAATCTGAGATCTATAAAGATTGTTCTTTTCCTTCTCTCCCTCAATGTCTGCATCTTTAATTGCAGGACAACTTTGTAATGCTCTGCCCGAGTCATAAATCTGTCAAATTTCCTAGTGAGAAGTCAAAGTCTAGGAAGCGTGCCAGTATGGAAGCATGTCCAGAATCTGCTCCCATGTAAGAACTATATGTTATGGAAGTCCCATATTATTCCCTGCATTTCAATTTATGTGTCTTCCTTTCCTTTTTTAGTTTTTAAAAAAATGCCTCTTTTTATATTTAGTAACTCTTTAACTCCAACATTCCACACGGCATATTTAAGACTACAAGATTCAAGGACATTTAGGTACATTTAGAGGTGGCAAAATGGTTAAAAGAAAACAATTATCCACACATATTATCCATTAAAAATTGGGTTGGATAATGAATTTTTTAAAAATGAGTCGAATATGGATAACTATATTATCCATTTAGAAAATTATTAATCAAATGGATAACCAATGGATAATTAACGTGTTTAACTTTTACATTTGTAAAGCCTCAAATTAGGGGTTCCTCAAGTTTGGAAGATTAGGAATTCTCCCAAAAGTGATTATATATTCAAGAAGTCATGTATAATATGGATATTCATATTATCCGCTGGATAACCCGTATTTATCTGTCTCAAATACGGGTCTGTTTTTTGAAATACCCATTTGACCCACTCATATTCGACCCGACCAGTTTGTTTGCCACCCCTAAGTACATTATACACATCTTTACTTAAAGACCACATGATTTAAAAGTCTTCCTTTTCTTAATTTCATGTCCAGTCAAACTAAGACACAAATTGAAACTGAGTAAGTATTTTTTATCACTTAGTGATCACGCCCAACTCTAGTCCTAAAAAGGATAAACGGTCGCTGTAAATATAATCCGGTCTAAGAGTCCGGAGTCGAATCCCACAGAGAACTAAGGTTTTGCCACAAATAGACAAATTCAAAGGTTAAATTATATTAAAACATAATAAGAATTCATCCTCCAAGAGGTTCCATCAAAACCCTAGATAACAAATTAGCTATTTATAATAGTATGCATAACTATAATACTAGAATTCATAAGCAATAATGGAAATAGGAAGAAGGAAGTGAAAAACTCGTAGAAGAATTCTCTGTCTTGCTCCTAGTGTGTTCTTGCCTCTTTAGGTCTAAAGTGTGTCAAAAGTATGTCAAAAGTACTCAAAATACCGTTTTTCCATGTATATATACCAAGTAGGGTCGGGCCCAAATAATTATACCTTCTCCTATGCGAAAAAGGACACTTTTCCAGGTCAGGACGTCCGCGGCTGCGGATTCAACTGCGGATTTGGCCGCGGATTTTGGCCAGTTTCTAACTCACATCCGCGGCCAGTGCGCGGCCGCGCATTTGTCGCGCATTTTTCACCCTGTTCCATTTAGAATTTGGAAAAACGTAAAACATGAAAGTTGGAGCCCTTTGAATTAGCTTTCCAACCATATATTGTGGAGCTCAAATGGAGTTTTGAGCGAAAAGTTATGTGCATTTTACTAGACAGTGCGCAATATGCCTACTCGATTCTTCGCTCGTTTTTAACTATCATTCGTTGATCCCCGAACACGATCCCGGCTTAATTCCTTGGGCTTTTACTCAGATTTCAAAGCTCCAAATCACTTGAATTCATTCCATAACATCTACATAGCTCGGAATCACTCCTACAATACATAAAACACATAATTAGTGCAAAACACTATCGATTAGAGTTCAAACTCAATTAAAGTGCAGTAAATTAGAGTGTAATAAGTGACTAAAACACGTAATTATAGGTTATTATTACTTAGCTTAAATGAAGGCACTTTAAACAATGATAAAAGATCCTCTTGAATCATATTAAAATCTCTATTTCAAATGACATAGAATACACAATTCCCTCCCTGTCCCAGGCCCCATGGTTTAAAGCTTGTAAGATAAACACATGATTTTTCCTCAATTGGAATGTTAAATTTGTATGCAGAACATCTGAGCGATTGAATTTTTGGGCAACATCATCAGATGGACCCAAAGAATGGGTTCTATGTGGATCTGCTCTATCCTCAGAAGAGAAGGTTGGTCTCCTTCCTATAGTAAGAATGTATTCTGCTAGTTTCTTTCATATGCATGCACAGTACAATGCATATATTTTATGACTGCTTGATCAGTTTTTAAATATCATGGATCAAATCACCAGCACAATGTCATTTTATAGGCCATTGTCGCCAGTAGCAAGTTACCAAGCAAAACCAACTTATCTATTTAGCTCTTTGTCATTTGTACATATAAGCAGACAACTTAGTTTGTTTATTCCCCAAATGGTTTGACTTGATTTCTGTCAGTGTTAGTTTATTTTGTCTGTTAACTTTCACACCTCCACAGCTGAATTAGCTATTTATTTTGTCTATTTGTTGCATTTTGGTGGAGTAAATTAATCCAATAAGTGTAGCTCTTTTAGTTTGTGAATTTGTTGGTTGAATTGTTTTACTTCCATCAATATCGGTTAATTGTAATTGGTTCTTCTGATCTTATTTCAGTATATGATGGTCAAGTTTGCTAACATGTGCGGCGCAACTGTGTGCAAGACTTGGAACCCAAATGTCACCCATGTCATTGCAGCAACAGATGAAAAGGGTGCATGCACCAGAACACTGAAAGTTCTCATGGCAATTTTGGGTGGAAAATGGATCCTAACAATTGATTGTAAGCTCTTTCTTCTTTTTGTCTTACATGGTTAAGTTAGCTTATTTGTTCATCTGGTTCTCCATTATGGGAGAGGCATGTAAAATTGCCTAAGAAGTAGGCTATGCAATTAAGTAAATTAAGTTTGCAATTAAGTAAACTAAGCTAGTATATTTTTATAGGCATGTAAATAAATAAATTTCGCACGACAACATAAGAACAAGAGTATCTGGTACTTGGAGGATTAGAGAGGAGGAGAGAGGAATGCTATGGTATCAAGATTGGAGCTAGGAGCTTGGGTACATGTTCGTCCGAATCTAGTAGCTTTTGCTCAAACAGTGTATTTGTGTTGAGAAATTTATTAAATATGTATAGATATTAAATTTAGAACCCAATTATTGGTACTGAAAATTGTTTTTTGAAATCCAAAACTTCGCCTCTGTATGGTATATGTTGGAGTTATGCACATTCCAAAGACTCGTAAGAGAATTAAGATATCAAAATGGTGCTCTATAGTATGAGCATGGCACTTTATTGGAACTATGCTGCTTGGTTTGGAGCAATACTATAACTCGCAAAAGTGAAGTGGTTATTTTTTCTGTAGATTCTGTGTCCTATCATGGTTAGCAAGATAAATAATAAGCTTAAGTAGTTCTATAATTTTCTCTTACTGTGAAGAACATGCCTTTATAAATGAATCATCCCCCATGAATAGAGACAAGACTAGGACAATATACTTCAAACAATTGACCTATTAGCTCAGTTTAAATGATGCTAATACAACTTTGCTTATTTCCAGGGATAAAAGCCTGCATCGGAGCAAATTGTCCTGTGATTGAAGAACCTTATGAAGTTAGCCTGGACAATCATGGCTGTTTTGGTGGCCCTAAAGCTGGTAGGCTTAAGGCTTCATCCAATGTAAGTATTCATTTTTCTCCTATAGGGATAAAAATTGATGTAAGCATTTATATTTCTGCTGTAATAAGAAATGCATTTACAATGCTGCTTGTGAATATGCTTTATGGCTAAAATGGTCCCTTATGCTTGAAGGTAGGTTTATAGTAGTCCCTTAAGTATGCATTAAATATTTAATGAGCTTTGATTGTTAGATCTGATGGAAATTGTGAAAAAAGAAAATTAGCGGGAACTCACATTTATAGTTATAATTTTTGTAGTTTTTGCTTCTTTTTTTAAATATCTATTTCTAGAGTATAGTGCATTTTTTTAGGTGTAATTTTTGCTACTTTTGAAAATTTCTGGTGGCTAGTGCAATTTGTGTTGTATTTTTTTAGGATTTGATGGGATTTTCTTGATGTTTAAGGTTAAATTTTTTTTCTCTACAGTTTCCATCAAATCTGACAAAATATAAATTGTTAAATATTTGAAGGAGACCAAACATGTTCGGTGCATACTTAACTGACTACTTTGAATGTACCCCCAAACATAAGGAATCATTTTTGTCATTTCCTCGAAACATCTCTGCTGATTTTCTTAGTAACAAGGCTCATAATAAAATTATGGCACAGTAAAAAGATTCCTTGTTTCTTATGCAGGCACCTAAACTTTTTGATGGTTTCAAGTTTTATCTGAGTGGAGATTATGTAGCAGCTTACAAAAAGGACCTATTAGATCTAGTCGAAAAGGGTGGAGGTTCCATCATTCACAGTAAGGAACAGCTGATTTACCAGATAGGTTCTATGAAAGCAACTAACTCATCTTGTCTAGTTGTTTATAATCTTGATCCTCCACGCGGTTGCATGTCTGGCGAAGATAGCAATGTTTTGCTGCACAGACAAGCTGAGGCTGAAGATTTGGCCAAGCAAATTGGTTGTCAGGTCATTCAGCATACATGGATCCTGCAGTCTATTGCTGCATGTAAATTAGAACCTTTCTGCTGATATAGCATTGCAAGTTTCAATATAACAGTGAGCACTAGTTTATGTTTAGGAAGATCCCGCAAAGTAACTTTATTCATTTGACAGATGAGAGTAAACTGTCTTGTTGTTTGTATGAGGCTGTTATACATTTTTCTACAACTGAGCAATATACTGAATCTTAAAGGGAAAGGTTTTACTTCCAAGAGATGAAATGGAGTACTAGTAGCTCTCAAGAGATGAAACTTTGGAACCCTGGAAGTTACATATCCTTGGTGACAAAATTGAGAAAGGTTTTTTGACTAGGAGAGTTACATATTCTTTGGTTGTGGACTTGGTCAGCTAAGCAGATTCCAACGTCTTCTGCAACTCTTTATTTGTAATTGTGGTGTTCTGTCTAGTTTGTTAGTACCTCGGCTAATTCCTGAGGATACTTGTTACCTTTTGCCAACATAGGTACTAGGTAACTTTGTCAAAGTTATAAATAGAATGTTGCTAGAGGAACAAAAGAAAATTTTAAAAATAAGCTCAAGACTACATAAAAGGCATGATAATAGTATAAATGAGAGATATCGACATGATCCATATACAATTTTTGTGTTCTTGTTTCTTGGATATGCCAACCACTGTTGATAAATACCAAGTAAGTTGCCCAACTTCCAAGCTTTTGTTGTAGGATTGTATGCAGTTTGGTAGTCCCAAGGCTTTTCATGTGATCACATAAAGGCTCCAAGTTAGAGATCGCCTATGTATCATGTCAATCCCTCGCGCATACAATGTTTTCTTTTTCTTTATATCTTTTGGAAAAAAGAAAAAGAAAGATATTGTTCACCATCTCAAAAGAACGACTCTTATTGTTCATAGATGGTGGTAGTTTTTATATTATTTTAATTGTTATAATTGATTCTCGCACTTCGAATCACATCATTCCAAATTTGGAATGGAAGATTCTTGTTAGTCCATTTAAAAAGAATGTCAAATTCAATATGGCGTAACTCTTTAATTCCACCAACCCATAACATATATAAGACCACAATTTGAAAGCATTTTGATACATTACATACATCTTTAATTTAATACCACAAGATTCAAAAATCTTCTTTACTTTTTTCTTAAACTTTGTGCCCAATGAAACTAAGACTAATAAAATGAACTGAGTGAGCATAAGTTATGATCAAACGCTTACCATCATACAAAGGGACACCTTTATTTTTTAACAAAGCCTACCAAGCACAGCAGGCCCCATATTCAACCATGACCTTGACCTCGGCAATCCCTTCACCTTGGACTTGCCATAGGCAGGATGTTAGCATTACCCAACAATATATACATTAGATGCATAACGTTAGTAGCTCAAATGCTAATTAACAGAGGTTTAGACATCAGGAGTGCTACAAAGGCAGCTTTAAAGTCCATCTATAGGTCCTCATTTCTTCCAAGAATAACTCTTAAAAACACCATATATTAACAATACAAAAGGAAAATCCTGATATTTCTTTATCATGGATGTTGAAGCAGAGGACAAACCAGGCCCATCTGAATAATCTATGGGAGGGATACCGAAAATGTTAAAGCTGGTTTACTCAAGAATTTGATGTTCCAAACATCAAATAGAGAGCTTAATATCCTACCAAAAGGTTTGTGAACTGCATAAGATTATTCATCCAGTTTAGCACGCTTCGTTGGTGGTGTATTTGATGAGCTTGAAATATTTGTCTCAGGATTTTCAAGATCTTCTCTTTCTTGCTCTTTCTGCTTCTCCCCCACCTTTTGAGCTATATAATCTCCTGCTTCTTGAGGATTGCTTGGTGGCACTCCTGGATCATTTTTGTTTGAGGAGCGTTGAACTGCATCTGTCGACTGTGCAGAGGCATCCTCAGCTATGGATGATGAGGCCTTTACCAAGTCAATACTCGGAATCGACTTGCATTGCTTTTCAAACATCTCCTGGAGATATCGCCCTTGTTCTTCTATACGCAGCTGCAGATTTCTTTGAATCTGTAAAAGTTTGTGACAATAAAAACACGCATCACATATGATACCACGTAAGTTTCCTTAGATTCAATGACCGGGCAATTCATTCATCTATCAACATCATAGAGGTATAGAGTTCTTGACCATGAAAGAGTTGATTCCGAGCTAAAATTAAACAGTCAAGATCAATTATTTCAACAATAATCAAAGAAGAGAAGCACAGATCAACTACTTCTGTTGTTATTTTTTTTTTATTTTAGGGGATCATCTATCGGAAACATCTTCTCTACCCTCAAGGTAGGGGTAAGGTCTGCGTACACACTACTCTCCCCAGACCCCCACTTGTGGGATTATACTTGGTTTGTTGTTGTTCTTTTTATTTTTTATTTTTAAGGAACTAATTCTCTATCTGAAACAATCTCTCTACCTTCACAAGGTAGGGGTAAGGCTGCGTACACACTAGCCTCCCCAGACCCCACTTGTGGGATTGCACTGGATTTGTTGTTGTTGTTAAGGAACTACGTCTGTTGTGAATTATACAGGAATCATATAGAGATATTCCAAAAGCTTCACCTTTAACTTCAGAAAGGGCAAAAGAAAAGCCATGCCATGCAACTATTTTATACCAAAAAGACAGCAGTTAGAAGCAATCTCCAACAAAATAATGCATGACAAGGAGTCTATATGCTCATATTATGGACGCAATTTCTTGCGGATGATGCAAACGGTGATGACCGATCAAACTGAAACTAGAACCACAAGAGGCGGATTCAGGAACTCAAGAGGACGGGCACACTATTATGAAGAACTAGATCTAGAATTTCTATTTGACGGATTTGATGTTAGGCCCTTACCATGAAGCCCATTACACATTTGAAATTATAGGTTCAAAATTATATTCTTTTTGCATTTTTGGTGAGTTTCACATATAGGTATTTATACTCCGTGTCGAAACAAGGGCGATTGGAGTGAGATTTGAACCACCGATTTCACTTGTAGAGGTGCACTATTCATTGCACCATAGGACACTTAGAGTTTGGGTGTACACATGTATATTCAAGTAGTTTTGAAGAAACATAGAATTTGCTATATATGGTCAAGGGAGAGGAGCATGGGTTCACGTGAAACCATACCCCATCACCTAGAAACACCCCTGCACAAGATCATGTTGCTAAGGCAAGAATTTATACCTCAAGTTGTTCATGCAGCTGTTTCTGAACTTCCATCTGTAACCGCAATGCTTCAGTGATCTCAATACCCCTGCATCGATACCCAAACACATCATATAACAAAGACAACACAAGAGTACAGATTACGGTTAGTTATGAGGGGAAAACTTCATAGCGATTCAAATAGAGCCCTTTAAGCCACCATGCCATTCTACTTAAAGGACCTGTTCTACATTACATGTGCACATAGAACTATTCCAGCTGTCTTACCTCCATTTATCAGAGCCCTAACTTAACTATTCCAATATTCTCCTTTCCCTTATCTTCCAATTTTGTTGACAACTTGAATAAAATCCTACTTTTAACAAGTAGATCCTTCAATAAAATTTCATATCACCATCATTTTCACCCTTTTTCTTTTTGGACTTACCTTATACATATACCAGACCAAATGGAATATCTATTTCTCCGAATAGGTTCATGCAAGGTTGTACCAATCTAGATAATAAAAATATTGAAGCCACTATATATCAATATGTGGTTTATGTTTTCCGTCTACAGCCATATGGCAAAAGCACCAAACTATCAACAAAGTCCATTATAAGCAACATCAATTAAGCATATTATGCCCCAAATATATGCCATTGGAAGTAGGTAATACACTCATTAGCTTGTGCACAAGAGAATATCAAATCTTATCCAAATTCCAAATGATGCATATCATTAAGCCAGAAAACGGAGGCAATGGACCCAGCTACTAACGTTTTCAAGTCCAGAGCTGACAAATCACCAATGGATGACTCTTTCTTCTCAGAGGACCCTGTTATGAGAAGGGGAAAAATAAAGGGGCTTCAGCAAACAATAATTTGAGTGAAAGGAAATATAAAAGCCTGACAAATATAGAGGATTATTAGCATTCTCCAAGCACCAATAATCTCTGATCACCAAAAGAGAACGTTAATATGTTAGGGACAAATCCATTTGGCTTTTTAGAAGAAGACAAACAAAAACTTGGGAGATTTCGGCAGTGGTGTTTGAAGTTTACTTGTTCCAGTTAAATAGTGCAAACTTTGACTAGTTTCTTATTATCTTGGCAATCATATATGAAGTTAATAATACCAGTTAAAGTGCCAAATTTTTACCAGTTTGCTATGTTACACCTTTCACACATGTATTATTTCACGTCCTTGACACGTCTCAAAAAAATAATTTCCTAAGATATGGGCAAATGCCGTGTCATATTAAAGTTACAGAGCAAAATTCCATGTTTCTTTTTCCTTTATTTGTTTATAGGAGAAAGGCACAAATTAAGAAACATTTAGTCAAAGCTATAAGCATATTATACAAAGAAAGCACTAAATATAAATCCCGAAATCTCAGATCCATTTCAGGAGGGGGGACGGAGGGACGGGGGGAGAGAGCAAGAAGGTCAATATTGTCAGTGTGGCTTTCTTGTTCAAGTAACATAAACCTAACATAGGTTTCATACGGTGAGATTCTGTGAACCATAGCTTGCATATTTAGCATGAACTAAAAACAAAACAAAAATGACTCCTATTTACACAAAAGGCAATCACCATACAAATGATAAATTGTTGATCTTTACTATCTAAAATCTTATCTTCATCATCTGCTACTATGCAAAAAAACAAGATTGAGGAGTGTCGGTGTATTCAACATATACTTTTATTAACCTCTTGTGATTCAGTGATGATATATGAAATAGCACCAAAAAAAAAACCAATAACTCCACATAACATAAAAAATAATGCACACATACACACACGAGAAAAAAACACAACTTTTTTCACTTATAAGAAAAGAAACTAAATTTTTTAATTACAAAAACAAAACAAAAATTAGACATCTACTGGCTCGAGTAACAAATACGCAGGTCCTAAAACTCAATTTTTTTTAACGACTATTGATAACAGAGACAAAATTAAGACACATGTAAAAAAAACACAAGGGAAAAAGAAATAGCTGCATACCC